GCTGCCCCAGTCACAGGGACCGATTTTCCATCCCTGGAACCAGAAGGCACAGAGCTCCGTCCCCGGCCCTTCCTTTCCCTGGGACCTTCTCCCTAGATCGGGGCAGGGCCACCCTCTCCTGCCACCACGCCTGCGTCCAGATGTCACCTGTCTCAAGGCTGTCCTTGATAGCATCACCTGCAGCACGCCCTGCTCCCGCCCCAGTCCTGTCACCGTGTTTCATTGTCTTGGTAGCGTGTTCGTCCATGAGAAGTCAAGCTTAGGGTGAGTTGCACAGCCTTGAGTGACACTCGCCTTCTGAGTCCAGTCCACTTCTGTGGATGGAAAAGGACCACGGGGGGCGAGGGAGCACCAGCAAGAAGCAGGGTGCATCGACCGTGCGTGCCAGCTGCCCCGGAGAGAGTATCACTCACACCAAAGGAAGAGAGCAGAAGGCTACTTCTAGTATGGGGGACTTGGATCTTCAGGGACCTTAGGATATCTGTAGCTGATTTATTTTTGTCAGCGCATGTTTGTGTCACCGTGGGGGGCTGGTGCGTGGACCCCAAATCTTGGTCCTTTTTGCCCCTTTCCCCTCCTGCTCCTTCCCTTCTCCTTCTGTCCCTAGATTCTCCTTTCCATCTGCAAAGACCTTATGTTTTTATAACCCTCATTCCTAATGGAGATTTCAAGTGGCTTTTGATATCATGGTTTAAGTTGATGATCTTAGATATGTATTTTTAATATTCTTCGTAGTATGCAATATTTATGTAAATTGCATTTCTTTCTGCCTTTATTGGCTGACTTTCATTGCCCACTAAGAATACATGAAGATTAGGCCAGGCTGGTGGCACACGCCTGTGATCCCAGCACTCGGGAGGCTGAGGCAGGAGGATCGCTGTGAGTTTGAGACCAGCCTGGGCTACACAGTGAGTTCCAGGTCAGTCTCAATGACATAGTGAGAACCTGTCTCAAAACACCAAAAAAAAAAAAAAATTTTTAAATGAAGATTTATTTGATAATCTTTCACATCAAAAGGAAACTCTCAAAGTTATCATTGAGAACTGAAAATTCTAATTGAAAACCCCAAAACTATGCACAATTAATCATGTTAATAAAAATATTAAAAATATTTGAATACTTGGAAATGCTAACTACCCTGGTTTGATCATTGTACACCATGTATGCATTGTACCCACTGGAGTCTGATCACACTGTATCCCATACATATTTGCAATTACAATTATAATAATGAAAAACAAAATGTCTAAACCCGCAGAAATATCTGTAAGAAAATGTGCACCTACAGAAAGGTGGGAAATAGAAGTGAACTTGGGGACAGAGCTGCGGGCGTCCTGTCTGGAACCTGGTGCTGCAGCGGGCCTCACGGTCAGGCCCTGAGCTTTGAAGCCACATCCAGAAGGTATGTGACATTCTGTGTGACCACGAGAGCCGGCCTTGAGCTCCAATGGCACCGTGATGCAGCGAGGAGGCCTGGACTCAGTCCCTTTATTCCTTCCCAGCGACCGTTCTGTGTGGGTCTGGGGCAGCCTCCCCCAGCTTTGTGGGGCAAAGGGGAGGCCTGGGAGGGGGAGGGGAGGGGCCCCCCTCCTGGCCCCAGGTCCCTGCCGCCCCCTGGCTCCTCCAAGGTGTGTGCCCAAAACAACAGGCCAAGCTGTCGTGGCGGGGTTTAAAGTTGATTATCTCAGGTGTTTGGTGCGGAGATGGAAAGCTAACAGGGTCCACGAAGTGGCCAGTCCTCCCCCGGGTGTGGCGGGGCTGCGGCATTCGCACCAGGAACCGAGGAGGGAGGGCAGCCTCCAAACGCCGCCCGCCCGGCATTGCAGTCAGAGGGCGTGGGAGCTCACGGGTGCAGGCGGTCACCGCACCCAAAGGGACAGCGCTGCACTGCCAAGGAAGGAGTTAGGCAGCCTTGGCTCCCACCTGGGAAGGTGCGGTCCGAGGAGAAGGGCCGGCCCCAGTTCTCGCCCAGCAGGAAGGCCAGTCCTGGGGTGCACACACGCACACACACACACGCACACACGCACACACACACACACGCACACATACGCGCGCGGTTAAGATGCAGACTCCTGTTAGCTGGGGAGCGGCGCTCAGAGAATGACCTTCCGGCCAGCACACGCCTGGGGCCTGCGAGCCTCCCCTCACTCTGAGGCAACGTCCGCCCTCCACGAATGTTTGCTCACGCAGTAGGAATGCGCTTAGCACGGAGCTTCTGAGACAGGCCCTCCTGCAACTGCTCGCAGCAAATCAATAAATTACCTGTGGTCGGCCTGGCCTCCCGCGTGACTGGCCGCAGGGCTGAGGCAGGCACGCTGCCGGGGGAGAATTTCAGGTCCCTGGTTTTGGTTTCCACCTCTCGCACTGGCATTCGGAGGTGGCTCTGCCTGCGCACACCCAGGCTCCGGTTTCACCCTAGGCAGCGTCCTCGGTGGCCAAGCAGAGGCCGGCCCGGCCGGCTTTCCCTCCCAGCTCCCTGGCCGAGTCTGCACACGCAAGGACCCCAGGACCCCTGGGCTGCTGTCCCTGCCGTGGGCACCTTGGCATGAAAGAATAAACAGCTAGCAGGGGATTTAGCTCTGTGGTGTCCCGCCTGCCTCGCAAGCGCAAGGACCTGAGTTCGAGTCCCCATACAAAAAAAAAAAAAAGAATAAAAGCTTTTAGAAAACCGGTGGGTTAAAAGAAGACGGCAAGTGGGCAGCCGAGTAGGGCTTGAAAGAAAATGTCAATGTCGTTTTCAGAGCCTCCTCTGACCCAGCCCGAGGTTGGCGCCCTGGACAGAGAGCTGCAGCCCTCACAGTGGCACCCTTCAGAGGGAAGAGCCCCACCAGGAAGGGTTAAGGTCACCCTCACGATTGGCAGATTCGGTTTGCTTTCGGGGACACGGGAAAGAACAGTGGACGGGGCAGTCGAGGAGAAGCACCAGGCACCTGAGCAGGCCCCTGAGAGCTGCTGAGGTCGTGAGGAACCCGACAGGTCCGAGGGCAGGGGACCCTTGGGACATGCAGCTGTCTCGGCGTGCGGTGGACTTTCCACATGGCTCCGGGAGGTCACCCAAGAGGGACAGTATCGTTCCCTAGGGGAAGGGCAGCCTGGCACGAAAATGAACGGCTCGGCAGGCGCTTTGAGGCGCAGCCGTCCTGGGCTCCTAGACAGGGACTTTCCGTCTGGAATCTTGGGTCTCCACAGGGCACTCCGGGGGCTGTGTAAGCGGGGTCCGAGCCAGGCAATGATCTGTGGAAACCCCGGGGCCCCGAAACCTGTCCCGAGCCCCGGGAAAGGAGGATGCCGTGCATTTCGGAGCAGGAGATTTAGGGCGCAGCCGCTTCACCTGGGGTTCGGGGTGACCCTGGGCCACCTGTCCCTCTGGGGTTCGGGACAGCCCAGGACCTTGGTCAGCAGCCGGATCTCCCCGGGGACAAGGCCAGGGGGCTGGAGTGGGGGACGGGCGAGGGCGTCCGGGCGGGACACACACCTACCTGCGGGCGTGAGCTGTGGGGAG